GAAGAACTCCCTTTAGCATTTCTTATAGGAAGGTCTAGAGATAATGAACTTTCACAGCTTTTGTTTCTCTGGGAAATTTTTTATTCCTTCATCATTTATGAAGGTCAGAATTGCCCAGTATACTGTTCTTGATTGGCAGTTTATTTTTCTTTCAGTACTCTTGAATATATCATCTCACTATCTCCTGGATTCAAGGCTTTTGCTGAAATATCTGCTAGTAATCTTATGTGAGCTCCCTCATATGTGATGAGTTGTTCTTCTCTTGTTTTCAAAATTCTCTTTGTTGTATGACTTTTGAGTTTTACTGTAATGTGTCCAAGAGAAGAGCTCTTCAAATATAGTGTATTTGGGGTTCTTTGGGCTTCATAGACCTGGGTGCTCATTTTTTTCTCCACTTTGGGGAAATTTGCTGTCATTATTTCTTTAAGTAAGCTCTCTATGCTTTTGTGTTTCTCTCTTCCTTCTGGGGCACCATAATACATATACTGGTTCACTTGATGGTGCCCATAGTTACCACGGGACTTCTTCACTATTTTTTATTCTTTTCTATTTTTTGTTTTTCTGATTGGTAATTTCAAATGAACTGTCTTTGAGCTCATGATTCTTTCTTCTGTGTGATAGAATCTACTACTGAAGCTCACTATGAAATTGTTCAGCTCATCTGTTGTGTTCTTTAACTCCCTAAATTTGGTTGTTTGTGCTTTTTTATGCTCTCTCTCTATTGAACTTCTAATTTTGTTCATATATTTTTTTCCTGATTTCATCTAGTCTTCTGTCTGTATTCTCATGCAGCTCAATGAGCTTCTTTAAGATAATTATTTTGAATTCGTTTTCAGGCAGTTTGTAAATTTCCATTTCTTTAGGGTCAATTACAGGTGCTTTATTTTGTTCTTTTGGTGGTGTCATGTTTCCCTGATTATGTGTGATCTTTGTGGCCATGCATATCTATGCCTTCGAAGAAGTAAGCACTTATTCTATCCCTTAAAGACGGACTTCAGCAGGGATAACCCTTCATTAATCAGTTTGTCCAGAGATTCTGGGCAAGTCATCTGGCGTGGTCCACAAGCAGGCTTGATGCTGGGAGTCCTTGGGCAGACGTAATTGGCTCCTTGATTCACTGGAGAAGGCCTAGAGCTTGGGTCTGCTGGAACGAGCCTGGTGCCTGTATCCATAGAGGTCAGCCTAGCACTGGAGTCTGCAGAAGTGGGCCTGGACCCTGGGTCCAGTGGGTCCACTGGATCTTGAGGCTATAAGGACCATCCTGGAGCCTGAATTCATGAAGGCTAGCCTGGAGCCTGGGGCCAATAGGGCTACCTTTGCACTGGGATGGGCCTAGAGGCTGGATCCCCGGTCTCAGGCCTGATTTTTGGATTTGCAGTGGCCATTCTGGCACTGGGTGAAACTGGAGCCTGAGTCTGCAGAGACCAGCCTTTGAGACTGTGTCCCAGATGCTGGCCTGGTGCCTGAGGTCATGGAAGCTGGCCTGAAGCTGAGATATATGGGTACCAACCTGGCATAGCTGGAGGCTTAGTCTGCAAGTAAAATCCTGAGTCTGGGGATACAGGGATCAGCCTCATTCTGGGCCTGTCTAAAGCCTGAGTTGAGGCTGGAACCTTTGTCCATGAAACTGGCCTCAGGCCTGAGGCCACAGAAGCTGGCCTGGCACTGGTTAAGCCTGGACCCTGTATCTATAGGGTGCTGGGATGTAGCTAGAGTCAAAGACTGGAGTTTTATTTAATAAGTAATTATAGAAGAAGTGGTTTTCATTTTATTTTGTTTTAAAAGAGGAGCCATAAAAGCTTGCAGCAAAAATATTTGTTAGTCTGTTGTATCAGGAGAGGCTTTCCTAAAGCAGTGATGTTTCGGGTAAAACTTGAAACAGGAGTGGGAATTCATCAACCTGAGGCCTATGATTTGTGTGTATGTGTGAGAGGGAGTGTGTGTGATGTGTGTGCTATGGGAGGATTGCGGGGGGGGGGGCGGGGAGGAGTAAGAGAACATTCCAGAAAGTCAAAGCAGCATAAAAGGGACTTAGGGTAAGAACAGCATGGGTTGTGGAACAGCTAGATGGTTGACACACAGTGATGGAAATATTGACCAGAAATAAACCTAGTTTAGACTATATTAAAGTCATTAGAAATATATTGGAAGGATCTAAGTAGGGAAGTGACAATGGTTAGTTTGCTTTTCCCTGTTATGCTAGGAAGTTTCTTCAACATGTCTTGTTTTAAAGATAACTATATACATTTCAGTCTTTTCATGATACAGTAGTAGCTTTAGGTTTCCCATGCAGAACAACCACTCAATACATACTACTAAATCCAATTCATGACACTGTCTGAAGATACAGGTGTCCCCTTCCCAGACAAGTTACACCTAATTCAGAAGATCTCTGAAAAGAGAACTGAAGCACTTATATATCAACCCTCTCATTGACAATAACCTGACAATAGCCAAGTTGGCAAAAAAGAAAAAAAAAGTTTAATTGAAAGTTTAGTGTTGAAGGAACATACCTCAAAATAGTAAGAGCTATATATGAAAAACCCACAGCCAATATCATACTGAGTGGGCAAAAGATGAAAGCATTCTCCTTGAAAACCAGCACAAGACAAGGATGCTTTCTCTGATGACTCGTATTCAGCATAGTATTGGAAATTCTGGCCAGTGCAATCAGGCAGGGGAAAGAAATAAAGGGTATTCAAATATGAAGAGAGACAGTCAAATTATCTTTGTTTGCAGATGACATGATCCTATATTTAGAAAACCCCGTTGTCTCAGCCCAAAAGCTTCTTAAGCTGATAAGCTACTTCAGCAAAGTCTCAGGATGCAAAATTAATGTGCAGAAATTGCTAGCACTCTTATATACCAACAACAGGCAAGCAGAGAACCAAATCATAAATTAACTCCCATTCACAATTGCTAAAAAAAAAACAAAACAAAACTTGTAAAATACCTAGGAATACAGCTAACAAAGCACGTGAAGGACCTCTTCAAGAGTTACAAACTACTGCTCAGGGAAATCAGAGAGGACATAAGCAAATGGAAAAACATTTCATGCTCACAGATAGGAAGAATCAATATTGTGAAAATGGCCATACTGCCCAAAGTAATTTATAGATTCAATACTATTCCCATTAAACTACCACTGACATTCTTCATGAATTAGAAAAAAAAAAAAACTAATTTAAAATTCATGTGGAAACAAAAAAGGGCCTGTATAGCCAAGACAATTCTAAGCAAAAAGAACAAAACTGGAGGCATCACACTGCCTGACTTCAAACTATAGTACAAGGCTACAGTTATCAAAATATCATGGTACTGGTGCAAAAACAAACACATAGACCAATGGAACACAATAGAGAACTCAGAAATAAGACTGCACACCTACAACCATCTAATCTTCAACAGCTCTTACAAAAACAAGCAATGGGAAAAGGATTCCCTATTTAATAAATAGTGCTGGGAGAACATGCAGAAAATTGAAACTAGACCTCTTCCTTATGCATTATACAAAAATTAACTCAAGATGGACTAAAGACTTAAATGTAAAACCAAAAGCTATAGAAATCCTAGAAGAAAATCTAGACAATACCATTCAGGACATAGGCATGGGCAAAGATTTCATGATGAAAATGCCAAAGCAATTGCAACAAAAACAAAAATTGACAAATGGGATCCAATTAAACTAAAGAGCTTCTGCATGGCAAAAGAAACTACTATCAGAGTGAACAGGCAACCTATATAACAGGAGAAAATTTTTGCAATCTATTCATCTGACAAAGATCTAATATCCAGAGTCTATGAGGAACTTAAACAAATTTACAGGAAAAAAAAATAACCCCATTAAAAAGTGGGCAAAGGACATGAACAGACACTAATCAAAAGAAGACATTCATGTGACCAACAAACATATGAAAAAAAGCTTAGCATCACTGATTATTAGAGAAATGCAAATCAAAACTGCAATGAGATACCATCTCAAACCAGTCAGAATGACAATTATTAAAAAGCCAAAAACAACAGATGTTGGCAAGGTTACAGAGAAAAAGGAATGCTTTTACACTGTTGGTGGGAGTGTAAATTGGTTCAGCTATTGTGGAAGACACTGTGCCAACTCTTCAAAGATCTAGAAGCAGAAATACCATTTGATCCAGCAATACCATTACTGAGTATATATCCGAAAGGATAGAAATCATTCTATTATAAAGATACATGCATGCATATGTTCACTGCAGCACTATCCACAATAGCAAAGACTTTGAATCAACCCAAATGCCCATCAATGATAGAGTGAATAAAGAAAATGTGGTACATATACACCATGGAATACTATGCAGCCATAAAAAGGAACAAGATCACGTCCTTAGCAGGGACATGGATGGAGCTGAAAGCCATTATCATCAGCAAATTAACACAGGAACAGAAAACCAAACACCTCATGTTCTCACTTGTAAGTGGGAGCTGAATGATGAGAACACATGGACACGTTGGGGGAAAAACACTCACTGGGGACTGCTGGGGGTAGGAGTGGGAGAGCACCAGGAGGAATAGCTAATGGATACTGGACTTTATACCTAGGTGATGGGTTGACCTGTGCAGCAAACCACCATAGCACATGTTTACCTATGTAACAAATCTGCACATCCTGCACATGTACCCCAGAACTTAAAATAAGTTGAAAAAAAAAAGTTTGCTGTATTATAAGCCCTTTATATGCATTATCTCACTAAATTTTTACAAGACCTTTTGTGCTAGATATGATGAATATCCATTTTATAGACTAAGAATCATACTAAGGACACAGAGATTGTTGCATAATCACTTTAAAGTCACAGAGTCTGTATTTGAACCCCAGGAATCTGACTCCAGCACTTTTTCTCTTAAGTCCTTTGTTCTACTGCCTTTCAAAGAATTGCTTGATTTCTGTTTGGTTATGTTCTGCTTGTTTTTCTTTTTGTTTCGTATCTTGTTTTTAACAACACTTTTTAATTCTCTTTTAGACCAAAGGTGAGAAAAATTTAAGAACCGAACATTATGAAGAACAAATTGAAGCATTTAAAAGTATCGTCCAAGAGAAGACATCAAATTTTAATGCAGATATATCTCTAAAATTTACACCCACTGAAGCAAATAAAGTTAAAACTGAAAAATCTTCTGAGAAAAATGCCTTCTCAGATTCTTTACATGGCCAGGGTAGTTTTCGGTTTTCATATTCCAAAAATGAAACTTACCAACTATTTTTGTCATATTCTTCAAAGAAGGTAAGACCAAACAGTTAATATAGGAATATAATGGAAAGGTTCCAAACTAACCAGACTCTTTAAGTATTTAGAGCAAATAGAAATCATAAAAAGGAAAAGAACCATGGATCAAATTCTCAAATATGTAGCTAGCACGTCAGAAAGAATACTAATTGGAAAAAAAGTCTGATAGAATCTTTGGCAGTGGTAAATGAATCATATGTTTGGTGGTAGTGAGCAGAAAATGTGTATTAAGAATTTAGAGCATTTTTTGACTGAGACTGTGGTAATATACCATTCAATTTATATGATGATCAGAATTTTAATGAAGAATTATACTGAAGAATTCTGGTAATTCATTGCAATGCCTTACCTACAATGATCACTGTTTATTAACTACAAAATGTGTCTCTAAAGAAATGATGCTATGAAATTATACACATTGCACATAAAATTGGTCTGATTACTTTGTAATCATATGTTTAACTTGAGACTTTGAAAATATGTGTGGTTTTTTTTTTTTAAATATTTGAGCCAGATTTTGAAGTTTGTTCTACCACTCTTGGAATAAATGTAAAATATACTCTCTGTAATCAACCTGTTTCCAGCAAAATGTTCATTCTTCCTTTTCTGATACCACAGTCACCTATTTAGACAAGCTTCTCCCACATTAACAATAATAATTCACTTTTAGCACTTACATTATGTCTAACTATGTAACTGTTTTGTAAGGGTTTGTACATTACCTCTCTGTTTACAAGCATACCCACTCAAGTGTACAGGTGGAAAACTCTTTAAATCATTCAACAAATGTTTAATTGCGAGCTCTCTGGCCTAGGTACTTAGAATACATTTGTGAACCAAGCTGATGAAAATTTTTGTCCTCATGGAGTTAAAAGGTCCACAGAAAGAGACAGCCAAAAATAATACATATAATAGAAAAAAGAAGTAATATGGTATTTACAAAGTATTAAGTGCTGTGGTATACAAGGAAAATTAGAGTAACATGAAGGAAAGCAGGGATGCCTGCAGGTGGCATGATTAAAAAGGAAGCTCAGGGTCAGCTTCATGGAGATGAGAGCTGACCAAAGCTTTGGAGGAGAGGAAATAGCCAAAGAGTAAGATTTCAGATTATTTATCTGATGGAAGGAACTGTTAGAGAAGTCTCTAATGTAAGAAAAACCTGGTGTGATAAAAGTTAGTCAAACTGAGTCAGAAGGATAAAAAATTAGAAAAGTTACCTTGAATCAGATCATGAAGAAATTCAAAGTCCACTCAGCATGGCTTTTTTTCTGAGTGATACGGCAGGTCACCTGAGGGGTTTTATTTTTATTTTTAATTTAATTTAATTAATTTATTTATTTTGAGATGGATTTTCACTCTTGTTGCCCAGGCTGGAGTGCAATGGTGTGGTCTTGGCTCACCGCAACCTCCACCTCCTGGGTTCAAGCGATTTTGCCTCAGCCTCCCGAGTAACTGGGATTACAGGCATGCACCACCATGCCCGGCTAATTTTGTATTTTTAGTAGAAACGGGGTTTCTCCATGTTGGTCAGGCTGGTCTCGAACTCCCGACCTCAAGGGATCTGCCCGCCTTGGCCTCCCAAAGTGCTGAAATTACAGGTGTGAGCCACCGTGCCTGGCCTACTTGAGGGTTTTTAATAGAAGATTGACATTCCCTATTATATTTTAAATGATTACTCAAGATATTCTGTCAAGAAGAGATCATAGGTGCTAAGAGTCAAAGCAAGGAGTCTTGCTAAAAGTTATTGAAGGAATCCAGGTGAGACATGATGGTAGTTCAGTAGTTCAGATAGGACAGTTATAGAATCAAACATAAGTCCAAGGTTTTTGGCCTGAGCAACTAGAAAAATGGAGTTGCTAATAAACTTGCTCAGATAGAGCAGGTTTGGAGAGGGAGACCAGTAGTTAAATTTTAGTTAGGTTAAGTTTGAGGTGTTTATTATACATCCAATTGGCAATGCCAAGTAGGAGTTGGTGTTATGAGGCTGGAGTTTGGGGAGAAGACCTGGAATTGAGCTATACATTGACTTGTTGACTTAGTCACGGGGTCACTAACAGAGTTAGTGTACATAGAAAATAGAATACAATCAAATACCAAACTTGGGGAACTTCAATAGAAAATAAGTAAAAGAACCCAAAAACTGCCCAATAACTTTGCTACTTAGAGTGTGGTCTATGGAACAGCAGCATCAACATCGCTAGGAAGATAGAATCTTAAACTGTGCTCCAGAATTGCATTTTAACTGAATCAGTATTGCATTTTAACAAGATTCTCTAGGTGATTTGTTCACATTTTATAGTTTGAGAAGCACTGGCCTAGAAGACAAGAAAATAATCTCTATTAAGAAGAAAAGAGTGATGAAATGTGTCAATTGCTCTAACATGTCAAAGAAGATGAGGGCTAAGAAGTGATCATAGGCTTTAGGATTATGAAAGTCATTGGAGACCTTGACAAGAGACGTTTCGTTGGAGTAGTGAGGTCAAGAGCATGAATGATGGGAAGGGGAGAATTGAAAATGCACAGTATAGAAAACTGAATAAATTTTGCTTCTAGTGAGGGCAAAGAAATGGGTAGTGGCTGGGCAGGCAAGCTAGGGCAAGGGAAATTTTTTTGTTGATTTAAGGTAGAAGAAACAACTGCATATTTGGATGGTAATGAGCTAAGAGCTACCTTTGAAGTAAATTGACCCAAAGAACATCACATGTCTTTCTTACCCCAAATCCCAAGATATACTTCCCAGTTTTAGCAAAACTGAAAAGAAATCCAAATATGCTTTGAATAAAGCATTTGAGAATTCTTGTACAAGTCAGGAGATGAAGAGATCATTGACCTATAACATACAGGCTAAGTCACTATAAGATTTTTATTAAAGACTGGATCACCCACTGTCACCTAAAGTTAAATCATGATGACAACAATGTGCTTTAAGAACACAGTTTGGTATGATGTTCATATATCGCAAGGTATATCTTTAAAAAGAAATAAAATATTTTGAACTCCCACATAATCATCATATGTTAACCACAGCTGTTAGGAGCCCCTCAAAAGATCCATTTGCAAAATTGTGGGTGTCAATTGTAGTTTAGTTTTCATCAGGACAAGCTATGGCATTGAATCACACAGTGCACTGCCCTAGTTTTCTCCGGGAAAGGTAAGCCATCAGCCCTGGCCCTGGAAACATTTAACTGTTGAGTTGTTTAGGCTGACTTGAGTTCCGTGTCTCAAAATATTGTCTGTCCTGTCTCTGTCATTAAAAATTGAGAGGGTGGACTGGAAGGGACAAGGAGACCTGAGACCTGGGTTTTTAGTACCAATGCCTTCAAGTATTATTTGTATGTTTTGGGCCAAATAACTTGATATCTTTAAATTAGTTTTCTCATCTGCATAATAGCAAGATTGGGCTTTATAGATAATGCTTCCATTTCCTTCCACTGTTGTTTTTAAAATAAATTTTAAAAACAGTATAATTTCATAAAATTATACTGTATAATTTCATAAAATAAAATGCAAAAATTTTAAGTGTATAGTTTCATGAGTTTTGATAATTATGTACATTAGAGTAGCCACCTCCTTTAGCAAGAGAATTTTTTTAATGTTTTAACACAGAAGACACAAAAGCATATTTAGATGGGAATTATTTAAGATCTATGTTTAAAATACAATGAGTTAAAGAACATCACACCGCCTGTAATCCCAGCACTTTGGGAGGCCGAGACGGGTGGATCATGAGGTCAGGAGATCGAGACCATCCTGGCTAACATGGTGAAACCTCGTCTCTGCTAAAAAGTACAAAAAACTAGCCGGGCGAGGTGGCGGGCACCTGTAGTCCCAGCTATTCGGGAGACTGAGGCAGGAGAATAGCATAAACCCGGGAGGCGGAGCTTGCAGTGAGCTGAGATCCGGCCACTGCACTCCAGCCTGGGCGACAGAGCGATACTCTGTCTAAAAAAAAAAAAAAAAAGAAAAAAAAAAGAACATCACACCAATTAAATTCCATCATGAAGAGAGACTCGGGCTTCTTATCCCAAGAAAAATTCCTTATGCCCTTTTCAATTCCCTACCACCTAAGAGGTGACCACTGCCCAGATTTATCTGACCACATCTTAGTTTTGTCTAGTCTAGAACTTGATATAAATGGAATCATACAGGATATGCTCTTCTATGTCTGACTTCTTTTACTTAGTATAATATTTTTGAGATTTATTTGTGTTGTTACTTGCATCAGTAATTTTATTGTCCTTTTTATTGATGATTAATATTCCATTGTGTTAATATGCCACCGTTGTTTATTGATTCCTCTCTTGATGGACATGTGAGATGTTTTCAATTTTAAGCTATTCTGACAAATGCCGCCATGAAATTCTTATACCGATACTTTTGTGAACAAAATTTTTATTAGGCAAGTATGTAGGAGTGGAATTGCTGGCTGATCATAAGCAAATATGTGTTTAACACTGTGGGAAACTGCCAAACAGTTCTTCAAAGTGGCTATCTAATTTTACCAGTAATGTAGGAGAGTTTTTGTCACTGCTCATTCTCACCAATAGCTGATGTTGATAGTATTTTATTGATAGTGTTGAGAGTGTTTTACATTTAGCCATTCTGGTGGATTAGAGTGGTATCTCATGGTCACTGCTAAAACATTTAGTGTCTATGGAAGTTCTAAATTTCATACATTTTCATTTGCAGTGATGGATAAAACACATGTTTCTCTTCTTCATCTACTCTACGACACAGGAAAAAATGTTCCTGCATGTGAAAGGAGAAATTCATCTGGGAAGATTTGTGATGAGAAATCGTGATGTTGTGCTCACAACAACTTTCGTGGATGATATAAAAGCTTTGCCAACTACCTATGAAAAGGGAGAATATTTTGCCTTTTTGGAAACCTATGGAACCCACTACAGTAGCTCTGGGTCTCTGGGAGGACTCTATGAACTAATATATGTTTTGGATAAAGCTTCCATGAACCGGAAAGGTATGCCTAGAAATAGAGCTCTGACTTCAAATACTGTTTCGAGCAAACATTATTTTGTTCACCAACCTCTTTGAATGGTTAAAATCTTAAGAATACAAAGCCCTGTAACCGGCTCCTTTGAGAGGACTCTCTTCCTGCCCTTTGGCACCTAAAATCCTGTTAAATAGCAAATTGACTTCCATCTCAAATAAGCTGACTTGGTCATATTCTACTCAGCAGCAGCACTGAGAGATGGATCAATTGTATTGCAATTTCACATCTATTAGAAGGTGGCACTTTTAGTGAAATACTAAACAAAAGATGAAAGAAAGTACAGACATAATTTGTATAGCCTACTTCTTAATCAGCAGACTAGTCCAATTTCTATATCACAATTATCTTCCAGAATATACTTCAATATTGGAGGGAAAATATTGTTCTAAATTTTCTTTTGGCGGGAAAAGAAGAAGCAGTGTTATCATATAAATCTAACATCTGAAAGCAAGGGTGGAAAATTGGTTTTACCTCATGTGATGACACTTCTCATTATATGGTGGTGGTTGAATTGGGCTCATGTTAAGTAGATTTCTGGTCATGGGGAAATCACGGGGAAAAGGACCATGGTCAATTATCAATGTCGGTCATAGGTAGAAGATAGGCCTGCTGATACATAGTTATTGGCCTGGCCTAAAGGGTTCGTCTAAGTCTTTTAAGAAAAATGTAAATGCAAAGTGACTATATAAGTAAGTTATAATCATTCATGTTGTAAGTAATTATGGCTAGTTATAATATTCCTTAAGGAGGTGATGGATGCCAGGATGCCTCCTCTCTGCCCTTGTAACTATAGGTGTGTCTCTTAGGGAGGAAAGCGTTGCTAAAAACCACTTTAATGGCTTTTATGGGGTCAGAGTGTCAAGGTGTCAGGTGTTAAGTGAAGGGTGGAATGTAACTGTGATGTAAAAGCCTGACACTCTCCCCAAGGTCAGTAAATACTTTAGGGATAACAAAACATGACATAGCCAGAACCAGCTGGTCTTGATGCCTCAGTCTTGTTTTGGGTAGAGAGAAGCTCTCCCGGGGCAAGTGGATTGTAACATTACTTATCTTGCACTTTCACAAGGCTATATCCACAACACAGTGAAGTCACTGTGAGCTCCACCTGGAAGATATTGATGGAGATATCACATAAGGGAGGAGTACAAGAGGGCAGAGGTCTTGAGTAACTTGAAAATGAGAAGAGAAAGGTTTATGAGTGGTGATCAAAACACAAAGAAATCTTCAGACTAGGAGTTGCTTTGGTGAAAAAGCTCCATAGGCTGAGATCTTTAATCCTGAATAATTCAGAAGCTACTTACCTTCTGGTCTTAATAGACAAGGATCATCAGGTCAATTCTAGTGATTTTGAAGAGGAAGTCCTCTTTCTCACTTCTCCAGTGCCAATATCTGAGGACCAAGTCATGTCCTCTGCCTCAATTTAGGATGTCTGGACATGAAAGTGTCCACTGCTAAGGCAGAGAATCTGAACACTTTAGGGTCACCCAGGTATCTTTCACCCTCATCTTCAGAAGCAGAGTCCTCACACTTCTTAAGGATAAGGTTAGAAATCTAGAATTATGGATTTCTGGTATTGTTTTCCATTTTTATCCTCTCTCTTCCCTTCCCAGGGGAAATGCCACCTGATAGTTTCTAAGTTCTTACTAATTGTGGTTGCATGAGAAGTATTTGATAGATGAATAAACGCCTAAATGCCCCCAGAGGTCTACCCCGACACTCCTTGTAGAACCCTGTGATTAACCTCATTTCATTTTTTTCTTTCCTTTTTCACAAAGCATTTTGTCTCCCAGAACAAATAATCACAAATTCGTGTGTGTGTGCCTGTGTGTGTGTTTGTGTGTATGAAATAAGAAATGATAAATAAGGGCAAAAACTAACATGGTCAATGAACTGTCATCTGGGCTGTTTACCCTTAAAATACAGGAATAATTATTTTTCTGAATTGCAAAACAGATAATAACTGATAGACTTTGAAAATATTAGGATTTTTCTTTCTAGTAACTATTTGGGCACCTACACACCATAATGAGTCAACTTCCAAGACTGATATCTACCAAGTAGCATTCATAGGACAAAAGCAAAGTGGCTACATACATCAGCCATCTGTCCAAAGCAATGAACCTGCTACATTAAGGATGAACTGAGTCTTCCAAAAAGGATCAGGAGATGTTGATATATCTCATGACCAAATTATGAAGTTGATGCAGAGAAGTACTTAGTAGCTAGACAGCTCTGGGTTCAAATCCAAACTTACTAGCTGAGTAATGAGCCATTAGAAGGTTATCCAACTGCTCTGCAATTCCACATTTTCATCTGTACAATGAGGACAATATAGTACTTACTTCACAAGGCCAGTGTGAGGATTAAATTAAAGCACACAAAATGCTTAGAAGGATGCCAGACACCTGATAAGCATTCAATATATAATAGGCATTGTTGTCCCTCTTCTATGACATTACAGATAAAAGACTTTACTATAACCACCACAGTTTGACCTACATCCCTTTAAACCATGTGGTAGACTTAATGTGTCGTTTGCCATTAAGTTGACAAGCAAAGTCAAAGGGAGGTCACTATAATCTGATATGAGGACAAAGCAGGACAGACATGATGGCATATTTGAATTTAGTAATGGTATATAAGAACCTAAGTAAGGATGTTTCTTGAAAATAGCAAAATTGGAATTTATTTGTGATGTTGATAGACATTGTCTAATAATCTTCAAATAAATTCATTAAACAGGTGTTGAACTAAAAGATGTAAAGAGATGCCTCGGGTACCATCTGGATGTATCTCTGGATTTCTCTAAAATCTCTGCTGGAGCTAAAGTTGATAAAGATGATTGTGTAAAGAGGGGAGAGGGTAGAGCTGGTAAGTGTGGCCTCACTTGTTAGACTTTGTAAAGCCTGAGGGTAAATGTCAATGAGCACTGCCCTCTTGCAATGAGCCCTCTTAATTGTCTATCCTCTTGTGCGTAAAAACTATCTTTTATGTACAGTGGTTTTCAAACCACTATAAACACAGATAGCCCAGGGACATGTATTCACCAGTATCGCTATTGTGCTGGTTGTACAGTACACAACTCAAGGGGGTGTGATTCACACGGTAGTCATTTTAGACTTATATATTTATCATGGCAATAGTAAGGAAGCATTTTCATAAAAAGTTTCCTTTCTTCACCCTAATTTTAACAAAGCTTCCAAATAAGAAAGCGACAATGTTCGTGCATCCATTAACAAAGGACAAGGCCAAAACCATTTCCCCAACTCCACCTTCCACCTAAATAGAAATCCCTAATTAATCCTTAACTTTAAATCGATGCCTAACCTTTTCAAAAATACAAATATATTTGGTATAAATATTACTTCCTACTGTTAATCTTTAGTAGATTTACAAGTATGAATTAGTGCTAGAGTTCTCAACTTTTCCTCTAATCAGAAATACCTGAGAACATTTAAAAAATACAAATGCTTAAAACTCACCTTTAAAGAAAGAGTCAACTGGTAGTGGGGAGGCAAAAGTGGGGAAAAACCTGATATATTTAAAAGCATATCAACCAATAATATGTGTCCATGATTGAAAAACCAATGATGAAGTGGTGGGAAAAAACTGAATTTGCCATTATATGGTATAATTTCTATGTTTGATCCTTAAGCTAACTGTGTAATCTCTGGCTAGTCACTCCACCTCTCTGTTTCCAATTTCTCTTCTATAAAAATGAAGACGGGATGACAAAAATTGTCTTGAAATTCCTTTCCAGTTTTAAAAGTTCACAGATGTAAAAGACTTACAAAGGTTTGTTAAAAGAGGCTTAGTCTACAGAGAGACACTGAGGAAAAGATGGGTAGGATTGGGAGTGGAAAGAAATGTTACTTTTCACATTATTCTTTTTTGAACTCTTCTTTTTGTAATATTAAAATATATCAAAGCAAATGTACACAAATATAATTATGAAGGTAAGTTTGCAACAGAAAATATATATTACACCCAAAGTCATATTTAGTTCCCATATGTACATGTTTGTGTGTGAGGAGCTGTGAAGTATCAGTGTATCTAGACCATGGGTAACATTTTTATTTTTTAAAGGAGATGACAGAAATCTACAATTGGCTACTAATGTAAATTTCCATTGTAGATTTGAGGTGAAAAAATGCATAAGCAATATTTACAATTAAAATTTAATAAATACATTAGGTTGTATTTTACTAAAAAGACTCAATAAATGTTTATCACATGTCCTTTTGATAACTAACCATAGAACTACAACTGCTTCTCTTTAAATCTTCCTTCTCACCTCAGTAAACATCACCAATGATCACCTCATAGATGATGTTATTTCACTCATAAGAGGTGGAACCAGAAAATATGCATTTGAACTGAAAGAAAAGCTTCTCCGAGGAACCATAATTGATGTCACTGATTTTGTCAACTGGGCCTCTTCCATAAATGATGCTCCTGTTCTCATTAGTCAAAAAGTAAGAAACATGTTTATTTTCAAATAGAAGACTGTGTCATTTTTTAAATTAAATGTCACATTGTTTCAGGTGAACTGTTAGCTTCCTCTGAAAGAGACATGAACATTCAGATACACTCCCATCTCTTCCCCAAAAGGAGGCATAGCATAGAGGAAAGGCATGGTGTGGAGTCAGACCATCCTGGCTGACTTCCTGTCTCTGTCTCTCACTAGGTGTGGGATGTTTTCTGACCTCTACAACGCTGAATTCTCCAGGACTCCATGTTTATTCTGAGAATTTAACGAAATTGCTTATATAGAACATAGAGCACACACTGTAACAAGATAGGTACTCACATATGATTAGTTCCCTCCGGTTGGCCCCTTGCCTTCCCATGGTCATGGTGTTCCACTATCACGTCTAGCACAAGAGAATTGTATTTACTAAGGGCCTTTTTTTTTTTTTTTTTGAGACAAGTCTCACTGTGTCACCCAGGCTGGAGTGCAATGGCGCGATCTCGGCTCACTGCAACCTCCTCCTCCCGAGTTCAAGTGATTCTCATGCCTCAGCCTCCTGAGTAGCTGGGATTACAGATGCTCACCACCACATTCAGCTAATTTTTTTGTATTTTTAGTGGAGACAGGGTTTTGCCATGTTGGCCAGGCTAGTTTCAAACTCCTGGCCTCAAGTGATCCGCCTGCCTCAGCCTTCCAAAGTCCTGGGATTACAGATGTGAGCCCCCCTGCCTGGCCTAAAGGTCTTTATGAAAGGAATGTTCATAAAGTCTACAAGAAAATAAGACTAACGGTGAACAATTCTTATGGTCAGTAAATTTTTCCCTTTTTCTATCTTGATTATAATAGTTTTCAGCTTACAAACCCTTTGGGAGTTCATAGTCAAGTTCTTATTCCTAGAGAAAAAAAAAGTGTTATCATTGTAAGGATATAAATGACAATGTTATTTAGCCTCATCTTTCTTTCCCCAAGCTACCTAAAACTGGTATGCATTTTTCTTTACTTCTTTTATTACTAGTACTATTAGTAAGTGCTTTTTTTCTACTTCCCTTTATAACTTTCAATTTTCTCCATGTGTTTTACAATTTGCTTTCCTCAGATCATGTTTATTTTTGACTGCTCCCTACTCCAGTCTGATTAACTTGAGTTACAGAAATTTTAACATTTTCATAGGACTAGTTATTGGATAATTTTATTCCTTTATTCTATTTTATTGCCTTTAAAGAATGAGTGAAACCTCTAAGACTATCTCCTTTATGTGAAGAAGAAAGAAACTGGAAATTTTTATAATTCATTCTCCCTTTGTGTTATAGAAATATAGCCATTCATAGATATGCAATGTATTTATGTGTTAAAACACTTTGTCCCAAAGTAGGACAAAAAGGGGGGAAAAAGCTGGTGAAATTCCATGTATGAAATTAAAATCAGAAGATGCCTCTTTGATCTTATTAAATTTGAATCTTACATAAATTTATTATCTTGAACTCAATAAAATAAGTTTATGTTGGAAGATATTAAATAAGAAAACAATGGGTAATTTAGGTGAATATTTACATCCAGATGAACATCCCAGGCTCTACAAAGCAAGTTCAACTGTCTTTCTACAAATTCAAGAGTGTTCTCTGAAGACGTCTTAATAATAGTTCAGCATGTTCTAGAGATAATTTTTAAAATCTCAAATAAATAAGGCAGCTGCTGAAGATTTACTACTAAATTTATTAAAACTATTCAAAGACCCTCATCAACTTTATTGGTGCAGTCCTGCTGTATGGATGCACAGTATAGTTTATCCCATTTTTAGGGACAACCATTTACTTCCCCAAATTTTCAGATTGGTAGACATCCCATTTAGACTATCAGTATAAGTTTCTTTCTTCATAAACAGGAAGGCTGGCCTTTTCATATCAACATTTTACCTAAGGAAATGGTAGCTATTGTTAGTTCACTATGGACCACTTTTTAAATTTATCTTCTTGTAGAGAGAGTTGAGCAAAGCAAAATTGTGGATTTTGTTGACTTTGTATAACTTTTAAATCTCTGAAGAAACATGAGATACAGTTAAATTTGATCTTGAATTAGATTCCAAGTTAATTTACTCTCATAATTCCAGTAGAAGTGGACCTTTGGTTAACTTGTAGCTACTTCCAGGAGTCAATTACGCAATCTATGATCACTAATTCATTTTCAGGAATTTGAAGCATTCTGTTGTCTGCAGATGACATGTTCAAACATTGGGGCCGGTCTTTTAAAGAATTACTAGAACCTCTTCCCACCCACCCGAAACTATAAACTGGTCAATATTAAATATTCTGTAGCAAATTAAATCAATTATCTAGGTATTTATGTTGAAAACCAATTATCTTGGAGAAAAGACCAGAAAGTTGACTGTAAGCTCTCACTTAATATTATCAATAGGTTCTTGGAAACTGTGACCTTAACCAAAATGACCTATAACAAAACCAGTTTTACCATAAGCTAATGAATGGGTTAAGTTCCTATAGCATATTTCTGGTCACAAAAACATCACCAAACTTCTAAACAAAAACTAAAACACTTCTAATATTGAATTTTGAAATACATGTAAGCTATTTACACATTTAAAAAAGATTAATAAAAACAATTAAGATAATGATTTACCTCCTTACTCTAGTTCAGGGTAGTCTATCCCAGCAGCTCAGGGTGCAAAGCAGGAATCAACCATGGACAGAGCACCATCTCAACACAAAGCAAACTCCACACACCCACACTCACTCAGACTAGGACCATGTAGGCACACTGATTTGTCTAGCATGACTATCTTTGGGATGTGGGAGGAAACAAGCAGAAATAACAGGAAACAAGGAAAGAACCAGAGAGAGACCACACAAACGTGGGGAGATTGTCAAACTCCCCATGCAGACAGTGACCCCAGCTGAGAATTGATTTTTTTCTCAATATTACAAAGAAATGACCTTGAATGAAACAACATTATTCTAGGACCTACTGTTTTACTCGAAGTGGAACGCTGTATGAATATACTTCTGAGATTTTCTAAGTAAACTATGTGGTAAAATATATATGTTATAAATATATAGTATATATAATTTATAAAATAATATAATTTATAAAATCTATAAATACAGTTATACATTTTTCCATATTCAAGTAACTATGGCCATGCTCTTTTAGGTAGAACCTGTGGTTTTCAGGCCCCATTTTTCTGCTTTGTCAAACCCAAAATCACTTCTTGAGGAATGTCTTGGCCCAGCCCAAAAATCTCTCCTTGGCCCTTCTCCATGCAGAGGACATAGGCTGGCCCTCTCTTTCAATCCTTACTTTTGTCATGGTCTTCAGCTTCCATGAAAATATATTAATTCTATTGCCAACTTGCCTGAATGTTAACACAAGTGGTTCTACAGTTTAACTCAACAGAATAGCTGCACTTTGTTTGCCTCTTAAACCTACTGCTACAAACTAGTTATTAAAATGTCAGCTAAGAGAAATCACATTTATTAAAGACTGCCTGGAAGATATAAAGATTATTATTTCCTTTAGAGCAATAGCAGCAAAATGAGTACAGCTGCAATATTGGCTTCCTGTAAAGTTTTATTTTTCCATTATTAGAAATAAAGTTATGTAATCTACTGTTTTATTTACTAAAAGGTTGTTATGCAATGCTATGTCCCCTTTATGAGACTCATAGGAAATATTATTCTTTAATCTCATTTTGTTTCTCTTGGGAATCAGGTGGGTTTTTCTACCTGATTGGTAACAAATGCATGAGATCAGTAAATTTGGTTGTGTCTTACTCAGTGCACTAGAAAATATAGCTAAATTTGTGAACCACTTCATGCAAATGGATAGGTCCTCCTGGCATTAATGTAGTTCATTTTTGTTGCTTTTGCCTCTATCCTGCTTTTTCTGTTCTCAGTTCTCCTTTCCCATTTCCCTCAGCCACTCATATGTCTATATGTTAAGCTGTATTAGTTCTTCCAGAGTTACATGGTGTAATAATTTATGAATTAATTAACCTATCATTTTTCCTCTATGTGTAACTCTTAGCAGTTATGAACCAGATGTTAAAGAGCATCAATATTTTAAAGGGTTATAGTACAAGTGAGAATCATTTCTAACTCTCTTGTTTAGGGATAAAAAACAACACTCATTCTATCAACAAACTATAGTTGGTATACAGTTTATGTTGGATGTCTGAAGGAAATCTCAACTTATTTATTATTAAACTGTATTCTTAACTTATTTATACTTTAGCACTTTTATGGTAGATTATATCCTACCATAAATGTATCAACACATGGTGGAAAGATAGAGTTATCTAGGATAGGAGAAAAAGTAAAATCATTTTCTTATTTAATAGAAAAATAAAAGTTCATCAGAAAAAGATGGAACCCTTGAGGAAAACTTCAAAATTTCCATTTTAATTTTCCTTTGTTCTCCTGTGGATTTTTTAACTCCAGGATTTGAAGCTCCTCTGAAACTATGGCCATTGCATGTCCTTCATCTTTAACTCTTCCAACACTGTTTATAAATTTAATCCAAATTGTATTTCCTTCATGACCCTCTGTTCCTGTATTCTAGACTATCTGGTCTTGACTTTCCTTTGAAGGGTAAAACAAGATGAATTTCTTTTTTAAAAGAAAACAAAATAATTCTACCACATGCTTATGTTGTTTGTGCCAACGTGGCAATGTTGCTGAGAGGTTTCCTTCTTTCAAATAAATATGACATGGTTGAAATCTGAATCCTCTAAATTCTATATACTATATATTAATTCATAAAAGAATACACTCGTCAACAGTTATGCTGACTTTGTAGAAGTTCTTGATATATTCCATATATGAACCTATTCACAATGCAAGTTTTGCAAATATCTTCTCCCACTTAAGAATTTCATCTTTAATGGTGTTTTTGATACAGATGTCCTCTTATGTACTTTTTCTTTTGAACTAATTTTAGACACAGCAAAATTACACATATAGTGCAGATAGTAATATTGCAGAAGTAATATTG